TGATTTATATTGATGATTTTCAAACGTTTTCCAAATTTTACCTTGAATCATGAAATTCTAAGTTATAAACTTTGATTCTGGCTATAGCCCTCATCAAAAATAAGATTTTGAATCGGTGGAAGTATAAAAAATATGTTCAAGTTGGCCATGTGTCATGGCTGATTATAAGGCAAGAATACAATACAACAATGTGAGAAGATAGTATTTATGTATACCCAGATATACAGCTCTTCATTTGAAAAAATTAATGTAATAAAGTATCATACAAAAGATGATATTTTATATTCTCAAATTAACATGCCTCCGGGGAATCCTCTTATCAAGCAAAATAATAAACATGTACATGACATATAAAAATAAAATACACTCATACAGCTTCATTAAGACAACCGGTCTTATAAAGATTCACCTCAGGAAAGAAGTATAGATGGAGCTTTTATACTCCAGGCAGCGCAGAACCCAATAGCTTCCAGGTTCGACGCATGTCCGGTGGCTACAGAATTAATCTTGCTTAAGTTAGCGTATCACTGGAAACGCGAGTGTGGAATCAACCGCGTTTTAGCCTTCATTTTCCTCTTTCAAACAGGCCACGACATTCGGATATTCTATTAATCTACTCCAAAATAAGTAAGAAAGTGTTCAGAAAAATAAAAGTTATGGTTTATTCCAAGGTTCGTTCAAAGAACGAGTAAATTCAAAATATTTCTGAGAGTCTTTACTCTAGCGGCTTATAGATATGTGGGCTTCAAAGATTATATAAAAAAACAAGTAACAACAAAAAAAGACTGCATTGAGACCCTTTTGTCTTATACAGGTTCTCAGAGTAGAATATAGCATATACAGAAATAATAGTAAAAATAACAATAATCACCAATTTTATTTACAATGTATCAAATAGAAGGAAAAAATAAATAAAGAGTTTGGAATAAACTTATATGTAAGCAATACGAAAGACAAAAAATATCCTGAAAATAGAATTTATTCAGTTTCAAAATAATATTTTTCGTTTCTAATTTATTCTCAAATAACTGTCGCATTTACGACCAGTTCGGATGTTCTTGTTATATTTATCATTATTAAATAATATGAAGGCATACCTTTTTTCAGATTCAATATGAAGCATCGACACCAGTGAGGTTTGTAGAAAAATTGAACAATCAAGAGCGTATAAATCTAGGTATTTGTCCAAATGGACATAAGACATTGTAACACCGGATTTTTAAACAAGTTTTGGAAGATTTGGGTAAAAAGTAAGTAAATCTCCTTTGTATTTACCCACACATAAATTCTATTTATTTCCCCTGAGGGTAAAGGTTCTAATGATTGTTTTTTTACTTTGTGGAAATGTTTTGATTAAAAATTTTTCTTACTCTCTTCAATTAATTTCATGTTGAAAATTGTTTCCATTTTGTTTAAATATATGAAAATAAAAATTCTTTGTGTGTATTTATAAACGTTAAATTGTGTGTGTGTGTTTACAAACTTCTTACACGAATTTTATTTACTTTTTGCTGAGTAAATATACTCGCTAGAATTTAATTTATCGATAGTAAAAAAATCTTTCAATAGATTTTTATTAAAAAGGATAGTTTTTGTATAACCCCATCTCTTCTAGAAAGTTTATGAATAGCTTCTTCAAAAAATAAACGATAATAAATGAGTAGAAATAGTTTAAGGTAACCATATTTTAACTTGAATATATAGTAGTAGCAAAAATATAGTTAACATTAATTATTATTAATATATTTTATATATTTTAAGAAGACTTATAAAACAAGCAAGTTTTCTAAATCAAAACTTTCGCGAATCCTTTATTTTTTTTTAGAAAAAATCTTCTTGATAAGAGAGTATTTCACCACAAATACACTATCGATAAAATACTGAACGCGTAAGCTTTGAAATGATTGATTTATGAAAAAGAACCATTCATCCTATGGTGTTTTCGAATGCGTAATTCTCATTTGAGGAGTAAACAGAAAGTATTTGCAGGAATTCTTTCGTCATAAACATCCACAATTTTCGATATGTTGTATGGGGTTTGAATAAACAACCATTATTATCCAAGATAAGCCAATATTCACTCATGGATTAACTATAAAGAAGTAGAAGGCTTTTAATATATCCGGTAATCTGCTTTTTCAAGGAGACAGGAAAGTTTTCGCATTTGAATATATCGTGTGTCTTCAATAAAGGTAACTGCATTTTGAATATCTTTCAGAGTTATTGTCTGAATCCCGATTAACATGCTAAAAAGTAAAACTTCTTCAGGTTTTTTCCATGGATTTTTATTATTTAAAAATCATATTTTTATTTATTTACACCATATCAAATCATCCATGAATCTTTTGTTAATAAATTTTCATTAATTAAATCTTAATATTTACATAGTGTTCGTTGAGATCAGGTACAGTGGATAGTAAAAAAAAAAGAAAAAAATACTGTTTATTATCAAATAAAAGAAAAGATGGCATGAAAATTTCATCCTGTGCAATTAAGTATGAAGATACTGGTGATTACTTTTATTTATTAATAACCAGGTGCGCAATATCGAACTATTTACGCCTATTAAAGAATAAACAAACAAACACAAAAAACAATAAACAAATTAAAACTTAGAATTAAATATATTAATTTGTTTATATTAATCGACAGAGTTCGTAAAATTCATTTAGATAAAGTGACAAATGTAAGAGAGTAAAATAATTTATATCAGGGAACAATTGATGTCTCACTTTTGCAAAACTCGGCAATCGTAGATAAGGTGAAGAGAAATTTGTTCAGTTTCTCCGCAGGAACAATTTGGTGTTTCTGTAGATTCTGAGGATTGATTACTCCCCATTAACTTTTATCCATATATATTCATAATATAATAAGCTTTTGGTCATGCCCTTCTTCAATCAAATATGGTATAACATGAGAGTCTATATATTACTTAAAAATTCATATTTTATTGTTTTAATTTTCATTGTTATTGACCAAATGTTTCTTGCCATGATATCATTCCCTCTATTAAAGAGCTTAACAAAACGCTCCAACAATGAGAATGAAATTATAATTTTTGGATATAAGTATAATACTTAAAAGTGTAAGTTAACCTCAAAATATTTATATATCAATGATTTCAGTAGAGAGAATAAAATTAAAGGAAGAATTCTCATCAATCTCTCTCAAGGTTGGTAACAACCTGAGATATCGAAGACAATCATTGATGGCAGCCTGAATCGTAAGGATTAAGTCAACACGTTGTCTCTCCTAAGAACTGGACATAATAAAAGTATATAATTCAATGGTGGAATTATGACACTTCTACTTAACCCTACACAATTTTGAAGGGAATTTTGCCGCCACATATTCCGATAAACTGCGATAAAAAATATATATACATATCTCTCGTCACAATAGGGGAATACTTCTGTGCGCCGACTGTACAAATATTTCCTCCTAGCGAAATTCGATCGATATTTAGGCAAGAAAATTAGCCTAGACACTTCAAAAGCTGATCACTCCTTTGGAAGCATATAACATTTGCATGATTCACCCAGGAGCGGCCAACAAAAAGAAATAAAGTCACACTGAGTGTTACTTCCAGGTCTTCAGACCAACAGCAGGTGTACTCCTCTTTCCTTCTCAAAGACCTCTGGAAAAACCCCCAAGACTATAATAGAAAAGCTGAGACAATGGGACCTAATATAGATCGTTTAAACGACTTGAAGAATAAGCAACAACAACACTACATATATGTGGACGACTACTGTTTTCTATCCTGTGGGCTGTTAGGTTACGTACATGGCCTTCATGTTGAATAATTACCATACTAAGATCACTTACATTTAACAATAAACATGAATACATGTTGGAGAAGGAAACAAATGATGAAATTCTCTTCAATAACGAGAAAAAATACATATGGATACCTGAAAGAGCAACACTATTTGCAGAGATTTTAGGAAGAGCTTGTGAATCCTGGAATAATTCGATTGAGAATATAATAAATAAATGGTCAAGCAGATAAATATGCTACGTTAAAAACTGGTATGCAACTTGAGACGAAAACGGATAACTCAATGTCGAACCCTTGGTTTGATCATGAATGCTACATAGCAAAAAAGATCATAAAAGAAACTCTGGCAAAATATACTAAATCGAACAACGATTTAGACCGTTTAGAAAATGTTAAAAAAAGGAATAAATATACGCCGATTATTATAATTATAAATACATGCACCGCGGGGATTCTGTGGCCACTGGACATACGTCGGACCTGGAGGTTGGTGGGTTATAGCGCTGCTTGTAGTATAGGAGCTCTATCTATGCTTCCTCCCTGTGGTGAATCTGTAAAATACTGCTGGTTTTAAGAAAGCTGTATGTGTGTGTATATTGAGGAGATATTTGTTATATGTGTTGAAATACAATGTGAATGTTTTATGATAAACTAGCGGATGTGCCCGGCTTCGCCCGGGTTTCACCCGAGTGAATGTTTGTCTAACGAACATTTGTTAAAACAATTATCTTTAAACTTATAAAACGTACTCGGCTTCGCCCGGGGTTTTACCCGAGTAAAGGTTTGTCTAGCGAACATTTGTTAAAACAATTCTCTAAAAACTTATTAAAAAATAAAAAAGATATATTTTGATAATTTGAAACTCGTAAATTTGAATCTCTCGATAAAGTGAACATTTTTTCCCGGTTCCTGTGTGCCTTGTCATCCTGAATTTTGTCTTTCCTAATTTTCTACATTAGAAAATCATAGTTTTATCTAGTGAACATTTTTTCCCGGTCCCTTGAGAAATACTCGATAAGTTGAATAAAATCAATATTAATTGGTTCCCTCGGTAATTGGAAGTTAAAGGAATAGTATCTTCGCCTTGGAATTGTATCATTATTCTTGTCGCAAATAAATTGCCGTGTCATCCTGAGATAATCTTACTTTTGATAAATAATATTCAATTTTATATATATAAGATAATATAAATGAGTTTTAAAAATTGTAAAAAAAAAAATGCATCGGCCGGGAATCGAACCCGGGCCGCCCGCGTGGCAGGCGAGCATTCTACCACTGAACCACCGTGGTTAAAAAATCGCCATATTTAGGTATTCATTCCATTCCGGATTAGTCCGCGTAAAAAAAAAGTTCTTCAAATCAAAAAATAAATAGCCAAAAATACTAATCAAAATGCAGCCGAAAATTTTCCTCAGGTTTATAAAAAGCGACATGCAAAATTTGGTACCAATTGGTTCAGTAGTTTTTGATTTTATCGCGAAACAGACAGACAGACAGAAATTGACTTTTATATATATAATATATAGATTTACTCTTCATTGTTGGCTTTTTATCTTACATTCATTCTTCATTGTTGGCTTTTTATATTACATTCACTCTTCATTGTTGGCTTTTTATCTTACATTCACTCTGTTGGCTTTTTATATTACATTTACTCTTCATTGTTGGCTTTTTATCTTACATTCACTCTTCATTGTTGGCTTTTTATATTATATTTACTCTTCATTGTTGGCTTTTTATCTTACATTCATTCTTCATTGTTGGCTTTTTATATTACATTTACTCTTCATTGTTGGCTTTTTATATTACATTCACTCTTCATTGTTGGCTTTTTATATTATATTTACTCTTCTTTGTTGGCTTTTTATCTTACATTCATTCTTCATTTTTGCTTTTTATATTACATTTACTCTTCATTGTTGGCTTTTTATCTTACATTCACTCTTCATTGTTGGCTTTTTATCTTACATTCACTCTTCATTGTTGGCTTTTTATCTTACATTCATTATTCTTTGTTGGCTTTTTATATTGCATTCACTCTTCATTGTTGGCTTTTTATATTACATTTACTCTTCATTGTTGGCTTTTTATATTACATTCACTCTTCATTGTTGGCTTTTTATATTATATTTACTCTTCTTTGTTGGCTTTTTATCTTACATTCATTCTTCATTGTTGGCTTTTTATCTTACATTCATTCTTCACTGTTGGCTTTTTATATTATATTTACTCTTCATTGTTGGCTTTTTATCTTACATTCATTCTTCATTGTTGGCTCTTTATATTACATTTACTATTCATTGTTGGCTTTTTATCTTACATTCACTCTTCATTGTTGGCTTTTTATATTACATTCACTCTTCATTGTTGGCTTTTTATATCATATAGAGAATCATAGTTTTATCTGGTGAACATTTTTTCCCGTGTCACATTGCCGTGTCATCCTGAGATAATCTTACTTTTGATAAATAATATTTAAGATAACAAACTTATAGTGATAAGAAAACTTGTTATCATCGTCACAATGGGGGCGCTGCTTGCGAGTTATATCTACAAATCTGCAAGTAACTCTAAGGATATTCAAGATATTCATGAAATTATTTTTCAAAAACCTTCCCGGTGATATACCTAATAATATCCCAAAATTTCACGGCGATTGGATGTATGGTATTTGAATCTATAGAGTACAAACAAACAAACAAACAAACAGACAGACAGACATTCAATTTTATATATATAGATAATATATTGAGGCAATAATATTTCTTATTTGCACGACGTTTCATATAATAGTATCCACTTTTATCCGGATTGAAACTATATAAAACCTAGAGCAGGAAGGAAATATTCAATTGTTGAACAGTTTTAAATTTTATATTATATCGCGAATATTATATTGGTTTATTAAAATTATAATATTGATGAGAGTATAAGATGTTCAATATAACGTCGTCCTAATAAATAATTGTCACCTTTTTATTCTATTCTAATCTCAATTTTTTATAGCCATATAGTGCAACTTTTTATTTTCACAGGTATATAGAGTATGCTATTTCAAAATATATATAAGCCTAGGAGGCTTCTCTTATTAAAATAAAAGTCAAACCTAGACGCCATCTATTGACTTTCGTCGCAAACTAGCGGCTTCGGGTCGGTGACAAACTCACATAACTAGCTTTGGAAAACTTAGAAGTGACTACATAGAGAAAATGGTTTCGGGTTAATGGCTCTCGTCAACCTAGATGGTGTCTCGTTTAGACATTTATTTGAACCAGAGCGGCGCCCTTTACTCCTATAGATCAAATTCACTCGGCAAGATTTCCATATAAATATATACAAATAGGTTGGTAATATATTCTCAAAATTTATAAATATGCTTAATAAATTAAACAAGACAAATGATCTTATCTTAATCGAGATCTCCTCAAGTGTATGCCAAGTAATATTGTTTTAACATAAGGTTATTATTTACAATAATTTGTATTATTACGAATATTAACAGTATGAATAGAAGTGACTTTTCTGTGTTAGTAGATTAAGCATATTGCAAGATGAGGAATATTCACGCTTAGAAAAACAAATCTGTATGAAAACTTAGAAAAATAATATTAATACTAAATAGGTCCAAAGGAAATTATTAATTAATTATTATTATTATTATGATTTTAAGACCTAATCTATGGAAATCAGATTGTTGTCGAACTAAGTCTGTAAAATAATCTCTGTGACTCCATCTGAGTACTAAGAAGTTAAGAATCCCCCCAAGTCCAGTCTATATAGAGAGTACACTAGATGAGTACAACTCAATTATCTTAGAAGACGTTGGCATTAGTTTTCAAGAGAAACTGTTACGCTGATTAGCATGCAGTCGTGGGGGTTTGTCCATTAGCCGCTAATGAATATTGCACGTGGTTCTATATTAATGATTGTCAATTCTCATATTGATTACGTCGTTGTTCCATATAAATTATTTTTCTTTTAAGAATTTACTCCGCAGGCTTTAAAATGGATATCTAAATTTTAATCCAAATGAGAATATATATATAACCACAGGTATCTGTTAGCGGGAATTATTCCGCCTTCTTTAATTCTAAAAGATCCTATTCGCACGAAATTTTATAGAAAAATATTATTAGAAACTGGGATGAAAACTTTGAAATGATCCAATTTATGCCTTTTTAATTAAAATATATTAAAATATCATAATATAATGTAAAAATATTTATGAAATTAATCATAGGGATTGAGAAATATTTCTTATGATTGTCAATTCCTCATATTTATTAGGTGCCTGTTCCATATAAACATTTTTTTCAAGAATTTGCTTTCTTCGGGGCTTCAAAATAGATATCCGAAATTTAATTCATATGTGAATATATGAAATATCATAATATAATGTAGAACTATTTATATATATATATAAAAATAATCATGAGGACAGATAAAAATTTATTATGATATCTATGATTAGGTGGGTGCTCAATATAAACTATTTTTAAATAAATAATATACTCTTTAGGACTTCAAAATGGATATCTAAATTCCAATCCATAGGATGAAAAATATTCAACATAAGGTTGCGCGGGAGAATTATATTCATGTACCTAGAGAGTAATCTCTCTCTCTCTCTTTAATTGTGCACCAGAACATTGCTCTGTGCACTACTCTAGTAGAAGACATTTACTAGTGATGATAAAGTATGAGCCACAACAGTTTTGGCAAATTCAGAAAAAAGTGAACCTGTATACCATGGTTTCGAGCTAATGAATTTCCCTAGCGATTTCTACCATTTAATCCACCATACCGCTCTAATATTGTATTTAGGATTCTTCTTATAAAGCGAGAACTTCATAGGAATTTTGTTTAGGATAATTAATAAAACAGTGAAAATAAGTTTGGAGTATACTTATTTGTAAATTTAGCATTACTTCTATTCTCAATAAATAACAAACTTACTCCAGTTAGGCATAATTTAAACACAAGGCATTAGCGTGCCATTTATTTATTCACAAGATAAAAATAGTTTCTTTTTTCATTTCTTGTTTTATTAAAATAATTCTCTCCGAATAGTTTTGTTTATTTTTTTTTTCATTATTTATTAATCAAACAGAGAGAGAGGCACGGTATTGAAATATTCTATGGTGGAAATAAACAAAAAAACAATAAACAAATTAAAACTTAGAAGAAAATATTCACAAATTTACATGTATTAATCGGATAATTTATACGGTGTTTAACAAATATACAAGGCACATTCTGTTCCGTTCTGAATTGGGATTTACTAAACAAACAAATACATCAATAAAAAATTATCCGTTTTTAAAATACGAGGCAAATATTTTCAATGCAATGTTGTATGTAAGCTTATGAATTTTTAATTTAACATTATAATTTCACATATTAGGATAGTGTTGGAGACTGGCAGACTCTACCGGTTTAATTTATCCAGGCGTTGTCCACCCTCCGCCACGCCGAGGCTCCAGATCTTACCTTTTTAGAAGATTGGTTCATTTAGTAAGGCATTTCCCACCTTTCTTGAGTACCTTGGGGAATTCGAGTAGGAAGATATATATATAAGACCTGAATGACAATATTTATAAGCTCTCTATAACAATTTACTTAGAATTTAGATGTGGGGAGCTCCGGAGCTGTTTGATCTGATAGACAATTGACAATATAAACAATTCTATTGCCACATGGAAAATTGGGAAAGACAAACTTCAGGATGATACAGAAATTTTTGAAGAGCAAGAACGAACTATGAATGTTAAACAAAATATAAGCAATGAGGAAAGTTTACAGAGTAGCAAAATATAAAAATAAAAATGATACTCTGTTAATAAAATAATAAATACTTTTCTACATTATGGATTTTTCCAATCAATTGCTACAGAAAATTATTAAAATCAAATAGAGGATAATATTTAATAAAGGAATAAATAACGTGTAGATAAAATGTAGGAAGGTATATTCTGTTGTATATGTGCAATAATCTCTTCAGCAAGGGAGGCCCCCAACCTGTGAGAGTTCTTCTTCAGATAAGAAGGGGGTCTTCTTGAACACTCCTCAGTTCCATGCCGAGATCTGATAGAGAGTATTTGGGTTTATGACTGAGTGAAATTTAAATGGGCGCATTATGAAAAAAAAATCATTTTTACGAATTCCTACTACTCGGAATACTATGTATAAAGAGAATTGCATGAAAGAGCAATCTCCGATTTCACAATTCCAATATCTCGAGAAACAAATATAACGGAAGGACTCTAGGCGCCAATTTGGCTCCTACATTTCCCCATTCAGC